AGTAAATCAACAGAAACTGCTTTTATTTAATGGTGGAAGAAAATATTGCTGAATTGTTCGTGTAGTGCTAAAATGGGATATTAACGTTATGGGATCAATTTAAAAAAAAAAAAAAAATAAAAATATCCCAAAAAAACAATAAAAAAAAAAAAAAAAAAAAAAAAAAAAAAAAAAAAAAAAACAAAAAAGTAAATCAACAGAAAATGCTTTTATTTAATGGTGGAAGAAAATATTGCTGAATTGTTCGTGTAGTGCTAAAATGGGATATTAACGTTATGGGATCAATTTAAAAAAAAAAAAAAAATCAAAATATCCCAAAAATACATTAAAGTGCATGATAAAGCCATCCAAAATAATATCACTGAATTCTGAATTAAATTGAATTAGACTATATAAGCAAACTTAAACCTGAACTTAAAATTCTAAAGATTTGTAAAATATAAATTCTTAAAATATGCAAAAGAGGAGTAAAAGACCAGTCTAAATAAAATCAAATAAAAAAAGAAGATACAATTTAGGGAACAGGTCCTATCTACCAATCAAAAATTGTCTTCGTGGTGGTGTTGGTAGCTTCGCGGAAATTAGCTGCGAAACAGTGCCGAATATTATGGGATGGCAATGGTGGGCGCGTGATTTTGAACAAAAAGTTTCACTAAACCTTATATGTGGACGACTCAATATTGATGGATCTCGTTTAGCTTTTTCAACATTTAAATAACTAGCCTTAAAGGAATTAAAGCACCAGGTTCTTGAGCGTTTTCAGGGTCGTTTCAGGTATTGCGGGATGCTTCCTGACCTCAAAGTGGGGCAATACGCCATCATTGTGAAGTCTCTACGTCTACTATTTTGATTGCACCTCTCGATTCGCGGTAAGAAGGAAACCCTGATAAAATAGATTTGTTTGTTTTATATAGGCCCTTCTAAATTTGTATTATTATTATTCATACATTTTAACATTTTACCCTCCTTATCGCTTCCCAACTAGATGTCTAACAAATTAAGAGAAGGAAGAAAAATTAAAATCATGGTCCAGCTATTACAAGGGAAAAGCTAAATAAAATAGGCATAGGCATACTTACTACTAAACTAGGGCCTGAAAAGTCTTAAGTACTCTTAATTCTTAAGTGATAAGTGATTAAGCAATTCATGGTTTTGGTAGGCCTCTGCTGGGTCTACTCTAGCTTGGCTAAGCAGAAATAGCATATTCCTATTATATTATTCGGTCCAAATCAAATTATACTCCACAGTTTACATACAACTTCGACTTGGAGACTACTTACTTTAAATCTACTATACTTAAAACTTTAAACCATTATCTTTTTGAATGAAGTTAATAGTAATAGTTAGTAGGCATATTATGCATACAGTAGGCCATAACCCTAACTTAACTAAGATCTACTCTATAAGCCTATAAAGTTATGTCTACTCAACTCTTCTAAAATAATGTAGGCCCTTTTTTGTCAAATTTGTCAGACATTGGCAAAGCCCGCAGCTCCGGAGCCGCATAGCCGCATTTATTTGTATTGAATTATGTCTCTGAAGACGATAGGTACTTGTTCAAAATAAAGTTAGCCTCTATAGCTTTAAGACCTAGTTATTAAACTTATTTAGATAGTGCTTAAAAAAAGGCTGTGGCTATTGGTACTAAAATAATTAAAATATCGATAGCTTCTAGTTCTAGGGAGGTATTTTTAGTAAACTACCAATAGCTCTCTAGAAGCTATTGGTACTCCACTACCAGTAGCTTCTAAGCGGCTATTGGTAGTTTACTATAAAAAAAACCTACCAATTGGTGATAGATTGATGTAGTGCAATAATTAATTGGTAGTCATAATTTATTTTTGATTACAAAACTGAAATCACACTAAAGTATGTATGTTGCCAAAAAAACAACAAAATTTATTGTTTGTGTCTAGACTAGACTGGTCTCATAAATCACTCCAATCAGATTTTCAAGACATAAATACACTTTTTTTTTTTATTTCTTCAGCGATATGTTTTCATCAAAATTATATGCAGTTTAAAACATTGATTCTGCATAGCATTAACAAATAAATAGCGATTCCTAGACATTAAATTGATTAATTTGTGTTATAGTTGCACAATATACCCAATGAAATTGTTTAATTGTACATAAAAATATCGATGCCTTTATAATTTAACAAGGGCTCATTTAGGTAAATAACACTCAGTAGACATTTCTCCCCAACAACAGAAAATCAAAACCGTGGGGGGGGGGGTTGAAGTTGGTTCAAGTGACCATGTTCCTAAACAATGATTGGCCTAAGCTTATTTTATCATCATTAAGCCTAATCACATTCTTATACAGTTTCATTTAAATAAAGTAAAAAGATTTTGTTTTTAATATCCACACTTGGTATGCAGTAAAACTTCTTATTAGGCCCCTATTTTAATTTATAATTTTAATCATAATAATTAGCACACACAAAATGTTTTCAGCTGGATTTTATTTTTACTGCACATCTTACTTTGGCCTTGGCAAAGAAGAAGCTGGGTAAAAAATTTACAGACTATGACCCCCTTCCCCCCAGTATCATACATCTAATATCTATATTAGGTCTATATTATAAATTTTATAGCAATATTGCCAACTCTGAGCATGGGGGAGGCTAGAGCAGATAGTGTTAAAACTTTAAAACAGTACTGTACATTTTATAATTAGTGCCGAGTTGTTGCCACTAGAACATACTAGTAATAAATGAACAGGGCATTACTTCGCCAGCCTCATTGGAAACGGATGTTTAAAGCTCAGATTTTGGTTTTCTTTGATTGGCTGGACTACCAATAGCTTCTAGAGAGCTATTGGTAGTTTACTGCAAATAGCTCCCTTCCCTAACTAGAAGCTATAGGTAGTAAATTACCAATAGACACTTTCTTAAAAAAAACCCACCAAACTGATGTGAAATTTATGGTTGCAGGTCAATTCTAAAGAATTTTTTTTGTTTAAATGAATTATTTTGGGATAACTATTAATGGAGACATATTAGTAAATATTAGAAAATATAGAAGTGACTAAATAAAGGTGCCTACACAAGTCATGCGATGGTTAGGGGTTGTTAATAAAGGTTGCGTAAAATAGGCAACTTTTCCATCCTTTGTACGCATGTGCCTTACAGTGGGAATTGCCAGGAAATATGATTATAAAGAGTACAGAGTTGCTAGATTTAAATCTTTTAGTCAACGTGATATGGGTCCATTCATATATTATGTATGCACTGTGGGGGAAGGGGTTGTTGATTTTGGATATTTTGCCTACTGCTGCATATGGCGTTTGGGGAAGGGGAGTTCAGCAGAAAGTATGTACATTTAATAACTATCCTGGGTTTCTGACACTAAATAATACCCTTAATAGGGCCAGCTGTAACCTAAAAATGGGTGAAATACATGATATTTAATTATTGTTAAAAGTCTTTAACTTAAAAAAAAATCATATCAATGTTCCTTATTTATTATCATACTGCTGTTTTGTGTTTACACTCGCTTGATATCGCAACAGTAATCTTAGCTTTTGGCAACTTTAATTAAAGCATAGGGCCAATGTTCCCTTTAAGGGCCGCGTAGAAATCTCACAGACTATTATAAACTAGCAATGATCAATTTAAAGGTTTCCTTTAACTTATCACAACAAAAGAAATCACATGGTATTGTAACTAGGATCTGAGTAACACATGGTTTGACTTATAAAAGAAATAAAAGAAATTAGCATGAAAGGCATTTATTTGGTGAGATATAAATTATGTTTGCTACAATTAGTATTACAAAGTTTAAACATTTTCTGGGTAACATTAAAATCAATTGTTTGTTCCTGGTTAATTTATGGATAAATCATTTAATCTTTAATAAAAGCTAGAGCTTTCTGGCACAAGAAATATATCATTTTAACATCACCATCAGGCCCTAATTGATAATGGAAATACTATTGAAAGATGTTATGTAGTAAAATCACAAACCTCGATGAGTAGGCTTATATTATGAATATGTGCTCATTTTTAAATTTTAGATAATAATGAGACATAATTAGATGAGTTGTTTTATTTGTTAGATTTATGAGTATTGAGTAGGTTAGACTCTTGCCATTGACATATAATTCATATAAAAGCCATTGTTTGCTACAGTATATGGCCCTATACCATTAATTATTTGTGTTTTTAAATATTTAGGAACTTGATATAAAGCTATCCCTTGCCTTGTTAACATAATTCATCCTAAAAAATTTAGACTTAATTATCTCTTAATTGTTGTGCTATCTATCTAAAGTGTCCATCATGGTGGAAATTAATCACACAATAAGAATAAGTTCTTACTAAATAATGATCTCTAGAATTAAAAGCTAATTTAAAAAAAATCAGACTCTCATAAGCAAGAGCGATTATTGTTCTTGTTAATTTTCTCAGCTGGACCACCAAAAAGAGTAACTGTTAGGGAAGCAACTCTGTTTTTAACAATCAATAATACTATTTGTTGATGAACCAGTTAAAAGCAAACAGAAGCAGTGCTGTACATACAATTATTTAACTTAACCAAGCCTCTGGCAGGGACTCAATTCAGATAATTGGTTAATAAATAGTTCTGACTTTGGTTTCATCTATTTTCACCATTTTAACCAAATGAAATGGCAATTATGTCAATGGCAGTCATGATGAAAGGTGATCAAAAGTTGCTATCTTTGGAAATGGAATCTTAATACTTTAGTTTCAGATATCTCTTTTTGTATGGTATTTGTTACAAAATGAAATATGTTTCATCATAAATGCTTCTTTTAGCACAGACAAGGTATTAGCCAAACATTTCTCCCATTATAAGTGATATATTGACATTATACTAGCTCCATCTAAAAGTAAATTTTTTTAAAAACTAGATTACATACAAATAATAAGAGTTTACTTTTTTAAGAACAACTTCATGATATTAATTCAGATAGCTAAATTATTAAACATTTAGTGCCAGAATATTTATTGTTATTTCTTATTTAATTGACAGAGAGATGAGGTAACCACCGCTGATGAGTTCTCAAGAGGAAGGCCATGAAGCTCTGGGATCTGACACAATGGAAGTTGTGTCAGCTGCAGGGCACGTAGTGGCTAATCCTTTGTCTGGAACAAAGAGTGAAACAGCAACATCATCCATGCCAACTATTATCGGGAATGCATCATCAACATTTTCAGTTGTTGGAACTTCAACTACAGATGCAATCAATTACTTGACAGTACAGAATCATAATGGGCAGTTGATAATTCAGCAGCCTATTAAAACTGTAGGCAACGGACCTGCACTGGTCAATAATGGAGCGGCTCTCCCAAAGGGTCACATAATTGTACGACAAAAACCAGCCCCCAACAACCAACCAACACCTCTATCTTCATCAAATGTGCCAGGTGACATGGTGACACTTGAGAAGGCAGGGGTTAAACGACCTCTGCCTGCAACCGGGAGCAACGTCATCACCAAAGTGATAATTACTAAAAATCCAACATCGGGACAGCCGCAGGCTTTCCCTGCAGGAAATAACACACAGACTTTTACACTGACATCTTTACCTAGTAGTACTAGCGTATCTGTAAATAGTCTGATTAATAGTTCTTCTATTGTGCAGTCAGGGACTCCCACAAAAACTGTAACACTCACTTCTCAAGGTATCTTGTCACCAGTGAAAACTGTGATTGCAACCATTCCTGGAACAAGTACAGCTAAAGTTGTCCCCTACAAAATACCCATATCTCCATCAAAGACTCCTACCAAAATCACAATGATCCCAATGCCCAGGTCCCCTAATAAATCAACATTAAACCCTACAAACATCACAGTATTGTCTCGTGCTTTGAATAGTTTAGCTCAATCTGGAAATGTAGCATTGAAACCTGGATCACCTTCCAAAGTTATAATCAAGCAAGGGCCCGCAGTATGTACATTTCAGATTAAGGAATAGCCTTTTACTCATCAGTAATTAAAAAAAATTAAATTATTAAGAAATTATTCTGTGAATTAAGCATGATACTATCCAATGTTTTTTTCCTCTTCAAAGTAACATTTTAATTGCAAATAAATAAATGGTTTTAATAAAAGTAAGATTTTCTGAAGTATTATTTAGACCAGTGAGAGAATGTGGTAGTTTTGTATTCACTTTAATTAACCGGGAAAAAAATGTGAGCTTGGATCTCTTCAATTCACCTTTATAATGATTTTATTTATTTAGTTTATGATTTTTTTATACTATAATTTGTATTGGTGCTATTATTATATTTGTATATCTTTTAATCTTATGACAGCCCACAGGTTCAGCTATTACATTAAAAACCCAGTCCTTACCAACCTTAGCTCCTCAAACTGCACAGTCAATAAGGGCCACACAGGTGATGCAGAGCATAAGGGCTCCCAATGTTGGTCAAAGTGCTCAGCCACCTGCTCAAAATCTGAGACCAATGACAATTGGTGCTGGAAATGTGCAGCCGGTGCAGGTCCCAGGAACACGGTTTCATTATGTACGACTTGTTACCCCAGTTACTGTCAGCAGCTCTCAAACTACACTTGCAGGTACTTCCAATGAAATGCACTTTAAAACTCATTGTCATTATGTGCATGTTATTTATTTATGACTTAGTGAAGAGATTATTACTCCAACACCAGGCATATTTAGGTATTAATTTTGTAATAATTTCTTTATGTCAATTTATTGCCGCTTGTCAAAAGTTTTGCCATTCTGGTGCTCTTCACACTTGTTTTAGTAATTAAAAAAAAACCTCTGTGTTGTGAATGAGGAGACAGATAGTTCATCCCCACCCACTAAATTAAACATTTTTCAGTGATGCCATTTCCAATAAGCAAGATTTTCAAAATGGCATACGCACCACCAAATTTCTGGGACAGTTAATCCATATGGCAATGACCTCAAGTGTCCTTTGAATTATGGAGTGTGGAGCCATAGTGATAGGTGTTGGAATTATGATCATAGCCAAGTCTAACTTCATTTTCAAAATGTTCAATTAAGTTTTCTGATCAACAAGCTGATCATTCACTTTAACATGGTTTGTTTATGGAACTTTTATTGTCATCTCATCAACTGTAGAGGGGCATTCAATTATAAACTTCTTTATCCTGTATGTATAATATGTGAGTTCAAGAAAGATTGTATAAATCATAATTTTTATACTTTTTCCAACAGTTGTCAAACCCAGTGCCTCGTTTCCTAAAATTACCCCGGCTCCAAAGAATGCAATTCCAATAACAATGACATCAACTCCTCAGACAAATCAATTAAAGATCACTTTACCTATTCAACAAAATACCCCTCTCGTAAGTTTATCTAAGTTAAGCATTAAAATGCATCACATGATAAAAATTGTTTTTTAGATTTCAAAGTCTTACCCTATTTTTTACCTTTATGTAGGGAAACAGAACTGTCGTGAGACTGTATATATTATTTAAAATACTTTAAAAAATGCAAAAGAAGTAATTTTGTTGATTTTATTACATCTGTAGGCACCGAAACCCACCCCCCAAGGTATGCATCGCATCATTCTTCCAGCTACATCAACTAATGTTCCTGTCCAGGGTACAACAGTGACATCCCTTGCACCAATCCAACCAGCCCCTTCAGTTTCTATACAGAATGTCAGCCAGCTTCCCCCTGGGACAACGATACTCTCTGCAAATAATGCCAATATTCAAGGCTTGCAGGGGTTTGCTCTTGTACCCGCCTCCTATGTCACACAGGTAATGTTTGATTGATTAAATCTTATTTCATTTAATTTTTTTATGAATAAATTTGATTTAATAAGATACGTCTTGTTTTCTCAGCGCTATCAATTCAACAAGTAAACATTTAAATACTAGTTTTATAAACTTCAATGGAGGAATATTAATTGATGATATTATTTTTCCCAACATGGATGAATTCAAAATATTATGTAAATGAAAAAAATATAATAAAGAAAGGCCAACTTTGGTGTAGTTTTAATTAAATAGTTTTTAAAACATGCCACATCCATCTTAAAATTATGTATTATTTTTCTCAGCAACAAATGAACAAGCCACATCCATCTTTAAGTTATGTATTATTTTTCTCAGTTTCAACAACAAATGAACATGCCACAGGTAGCCCCACCACCTCGACATGTACGGGATTATTTTCCGAAAGAAGCAAAGGGAGCTCAGGCTACTCTCCCTCCCCCACCACCTCGACGGGATTATGTGCCCATAGCAAGTATCGATCCAGCAATTACTCAATACACAGTCTCACGGAATGCTCCTACTCAAAATGGGTATGTACAGACCTGTTTACTCTTACGATTTTGGCGTACAATGTACAATTTTGGCGTACAATGTACGATTTTTAGATGTCTTTTACGATTGTACGCCAAGATCCGCCAAAACTACGATTTTCAGAGACCCGGTGTAAAAAATTTTTCCCCCATTTTAAAAAATTTTTTTTTTCGTGTTTGGGCGTTTTAGCCCTCTCTAATGAAGATCTGGCAGTGAATATGAACGAGAAAAACGATTGGTTGTATTTTTTTTTTTTTAAGTTGGGCCTATCCTTATTATATTTCGAAAGCACTCATGGGGACTGGGGAGGTGGGGTTGTTGATTACGGAAATTGTGGCATATGAGACACGCATGGGTAGGGGATTGGTGGGAGTGTCAAAGGATATAAATAAATAACCGCGACGTATCGTATTGATGGGATCACAGTGAACTAGCTGGCTGTGTCAACAGTAATATTTTGATTTGTCGCCCTAGCGACAACTTCACTCACCATCGCCTTTGACTGCTAGCAAGCGTGTGACGTAGTTTTGCTACATAATTATTTTGTTTCTCAGAACCGCGGCGATTGTAAAAACAGAGATGTTTTTTAAAATAAAATAGATTATCCTACTGTTCTGCAGTGGAGCGTTGGATTTTGGCATATTTTATAAGATCCAGTCAGCGACATTTACAAAATATTTTCATTACTCGCAAATCAGCTCTACGCCTTCAACAATTTTAATACAACAGTTTGGTATCACTACCAGGGTTTCTTTCAGCTATATCTGGGGGGGGGGGGCACCGCCTCTCTCCCCGGTTCAGCCAAGTGCCCCCCCCCCCCCAGCAAAAATATGTCCAACAATAAATATCTGGCAATGCTGGCACAATATTCATCCTGAAAGTAAAAAAATAACATATTTATATCTCGAATGCTGTAAAATACCAGCCAATGTGTAGTACGAATTATCGTCGTGATGTTGTCAAGGGGTATTTTCACAAATGAACTCCTAGCTATACACAATAGTAGAAGAATTACAGTAGGGTGATGTTAAGTCCACCCAATGTTCAACGCGCGCATGACGTATATTTCGTTGGGCTATGCCAGTGGTTCTAAAATATTTGTTTGCCGGCGCCTATGCAATATTAGGTTTTTCACCAGGCGCCTTGTGTGACATTCTAACAAGTGCACTTGTACATAGCGAATACCAAAATAAAATAAAGGATGAGATAACAATAAATATAACACGTATGTAGGTCACTGAGTGCCATCTGTAGCTGCAAACTCAAGAGGGTAACTGGACCGAAAGATGTCACATTGGATGAAAAGTAAAAATAAAATTATGAAATTTTTCTTTTATATTTCGCAACGCTCCTGTGAGGAGGCCGCAGCAGCCCATATAGAAAATTTGCACCCCCATTTAAAAGGACAATTTATTGCACCCTTAATCTTTGTGTAAATGGTTTATTTATAGTTGAATTGACTGTTTAAGTTTCTTTCTATAGACGATTTTCACGCGGTTGCTCTTCGTTATATTCTCATGGCCCTGCCCAAGGGCAGCGAGCACCCAGGGCGATGTAGTCCGATGTAGCCTATATTATGTGAACCACTGGGCTGGACGAATCACCAGCGGTGAAAACCCGTGTCACATTTTGTTTACTGTAACATAATATATAATGAACTTTGCTAATTTTTTATTTTAATTGAGGAAAAGAGGGTGGGGGGTCGTAAAAACGTCTGCGTGCAACGGAAAAGGGGGACCCGAAGAATCTGAAGTGCATCCCCGGGTGGAGGGGCATTTCTGAAATAATCACTGATCACTACTACTACTAACCCCCCCCCTTTTTTTAAAAATTTCATTTATTTTTTTTTTTTTACACAGCTTGCAGTAGTTAGACTATAGCAGTGGTTGGCAAAGCGCGACTCCCGAGCCACATGCGGCTCTTTAGCGATCTGAGTGCTGCTCGGTCAGCCAGCCACAAACGGTTTTGACTCCCAAAAACATGGTTCTTGAAAAAAGAATTTGGCTCTCAAACAAATTTTAAATCGTCCTGCTGTTTTTTTTTGTTTTTTTTTGGCTCTTTTGACTAATGAGTTTGCCCTGCACCACTGGACTAAAGCGTGTTAACGGAAAAAAATCAGGCGCCTTTTGGGTAGGTGACGGCACAGTTTTTTCCCCGTAATGAGGGTGGGGGACGGTTGGAAACAATTACGTCACAGCACGGAAAGAGGTGTTGTCACCATATTACTGCTACAGTGATTTCTTGATGAAAACACAAAGCATTAGTAAACGATAACTGCGAAACACTGTGGTGATGTTTTATAGCCTTAATAATCATAATTAATAATGGGCCTAATTGGAATTCATGGCCTGTACAGATTTTCAGGTGACAGTTAGCTCCATAAGAGACTGTCAGGATAATCATTGAAGAATTCATGCATAAATGTAGGTGCAGTCTGCCCCCCCCCCCCCAAACCCCACTTTTCCCATCAAAGCTGCATCCTCAGCGTGTACGTAATAGTTGGATAGCTTTACGTTGACAAGGTGGGGAGGGGGGTTATGAATATTTTTTACATTTCATTTAGCCTACCAAGTATGTTATATATGGATGTCCCATTGTCCCAACAGCCCTGGCGTAGGAAATGGGCTCCATAGACGGATGTGCACATTGCATTATTGTAATGTTACCGGCGAGCCTTTTTGTTTTCGTTACCGTAGTTGAGCATGCACATTACATTACGATATGGCATCGACACAATGAAAGGCACGCGAAACCGATGATGAAGAAGGAACTTCAACTGAACATCAGATTCAGCAAAAAGAAAGTTTATTCGCTGATATCCTATCATGAATATCGGACAAAATTGACTGAGTTGCGTTCTTCAAATAAGGGTCCATCAGACACAAACTGCACAGTCGGACTTTTCATGAGCAATCAATCAGAGATAAAAGGAGTGGTGTTGATTTAAGAGATTGTGTGCATGGCGCTGGTCCAAGTTTTTAAATTTATATACTCAGCACCGCCAAATTTTCTTAGTGACAGTTCGGCGTTTGCGGGGGTGGGGGGGTGTGGTCCTCGGCAGAAAGTATGTGCGTTTTTTTAAAAAAATTCTACAATATTCATCCTGAAAGTCCAAAAATAACTTATTTATATCTCGAATGCTGTAAAATACCAGCCAATGTGTAGTACGAATTATCGTCGTGATGTTGTCAAGGGGTATTTTCACAAATGAACTCCTAACTATACTCAATAGTAGAAGAATTACAGTAGGGTGATGTTAAGTCCACCCAATTTTCAACGCGCGCACGACGTATATTTCGTTGGGCTACGCCAGTGGTTCTAAAATATTTGTTTGCCGGCGCCTGTGCAATATTAGGTTTTTCACCAGGCGCCTTGTGTGACATTCTAACAAGTGCACTTGGACATAGCGAAAACCAAAATAAAGGGTGGGATAAAAATAAATATAACACATATGTAGGTCACGGAGTGCCATCTGTAGCTGCAAACTCAAGCGGGTGACTGGACCGAAAGATGTCACATTGGATTAAAAGTAAAAATAAAATTATGAAATGTTTCTTTAATATTTCGCAACGCCCCTGTGAGGAAGCCACAGCAGCCCATATAGAAAATTTGCACCCCCATTTAAAAGGACAATTTATTGCGCCCTTAATCTGTGTGTAAATGGTTTTTTATAGTTGAATTGACTGTTTAAGTGTCTTTCTATAGACGATTTTCATGCGGTGGCTCTTCATTATATTCTCATGGCCCTGCCCAAGGCCAGGGAGCACCCAGGGCGATGTAGTCCGATGAAGCATATATTCTGTGAACCACTGGGCTGGACGAATCACCAGTGGTGAAAACCCGTGTCACATTTTGTTTACTGTAACATAATATATAATGAACTTTGCTAATTTTACATATATTCTGTGAACCACTGGGCTGGACGAATCACCAGTGGTGAAAACCCGTGTCACATTTTGTTTACTGTAACATAATATATAATGAACTTTGCTAATTTTTTATTGTAATTGAGGAAAAGAGGGAGGGGGGGGTCGTAAAAACGTCTGCGTGCAACGGAAAGGGGGGGGGGGTTACATAATTAGTCTTGTTACTGCAGTTTTATTTATTTACCAAAGAGATATTGCAGTGTACGATTTTGAGACCAGATTGTACGATTTTAGGGGTTTGAGGGTAAACAGGTCTGTATGTATAATAGATTGCTTAAAAAAAAAATTATGCTGTGATTATAAAATATTATATTTAATTGATGGCATTTTATTATACAGCAATACTGCACAGTAAGTGGATAAGGATAGCTTTACAGTGTAATGGATGGTATTTTTAGCAGAGATGTAACTCTGAAAATTTTTGCTGTTCTCTGACTTTCAATTTCTTTCTGTCAAAAGTGATGAGATTTTCCACTAGTAGTATTTCTTTGATTCGTTTCTTTCACGGCAAATCTAAAACCAAATAAGAACCAAACATTCAAACAGGTCTGGGATGTGCATTGCTCACCTTCCTTTTAGTGCCTTTTTGAATTGGAATATTCTTTTCAGTTAACCGCCAGTGGATCATTTTAGTGAGAAATATTGTTAATTTATTTTATAAAATCTATCATAACTTATGGATAGTGTGACATCTTGACAACTTTGTTTTGAGTTAGCCTTGTTTTAGCAGACTCAGTTTAATTAACTAACAACTTCTATATGTAAGACCACATTGATCTACCTATATAGTTTACAAGAAAAGACGAACTCAATTCTTTAAATTATCAAAACATCACCCAGTTAATCTCTATTTTAAAAAAAAATGTCTGTAAATATTAACTCGATAGGATATTTTGTGTATGGCGCTGGTCTAAATAAATCAACACCGCGACATTTTCGTAGTTTATTATTTATTATTATTTTTGCAGGTGTCAAAAAGCTCCTTGTAACATACATAAAAAAAAAGTGTGGGGGTGGTGGCTCGTATTTTGAAAAATTAAAGAGAAAAAAGTACGCACAGGCAATGGGGGAGTGGGGTGTATTAGATAATTTGACTTTAATGTGTACTGGTACGTGTCATATAGATGGCTCCTCCTCACGTTGTTTGCTTTATACGACCTAATTTTATGACATAATTATTTGTTACGGCTGACCGCGGAGAGTACAGAAACTGAGAAAACTAGGGAATGCATTCTCAACTGTTAACACGCAGCAATATTAAATTTCGACAATTTCATAGGATCTGAGGGGGCCTTTGAAAATGATAAAACGCACAAAACTGTTGAATAATTTTTAACATCCCCCTTCCTTTCACCCATTTACAGCTTGTGGTCGAAATTAGACAGTAATTTGTTAATGGGAAATAGGCATAATGGATATTTGTTTTTTTTTAAAAACTGCTTTTCCTAAAAAATATCTCTCAAATTACTTGGTAGGTTGTTTTTTTTTATGACGCCCCAAGTTGTCTTCTTCTTATATTTGAGGGGCCCACGATCAATTTGTTGATCATTTTGGCTCCTGGTTTAAATTCAGAGTTTGCTTTCTCTTGGATGGGTTGCCGTCCAAGGCTAACGAGTCCCTCCACACGGGTTGCTTGGGAGGTTGGCTTTGGTGGGGATTGAACTCCAGAGCACTATTTGATTTGGTTCGAGACAGTTCAGACTAGAGGCTGACCGAAAGTGATTTTCTGATTTTGCCGAAAATAGGCCAAAAGTTTAATATGACTTTCGGCCGAAACCGAAAAAAGGCCGAAAGTTAAAAATGAATTTCGGCCGAAGCCGAAACAGAAAATGAAATATTTAGATATTTTGAAATTCGTTCCCGCATAAATTTTGCATACATCGAAAATGATGTGGGAAAGTATAAATATTTACATTCTTTTTATAAAAATGAGATAATTGTGAATATTAATAAATAAACATCTAATATAGGGGTCTCAAACTCGCGGCCCGCGAGCCATTTGTGACCCGCAAGACGATATTTTGCGGCCCGCTACATGACAGAAAAGTTTAGTGTAAATGCGCCGGCCCGTTTCCCCCATTCTCATAGCTATAGCGTGACTCTCCGCGACGGTGTCAGTCGAATCTCACCGACTAGTCTAATTCTGTTTTTTTTTTTTTTTTATGTTTCTCTAATTTTTTTAATGCAACAGTGAGTAGGTGGATGAAAGTGAATCCTAGTTCTTGAGAACCCTTAATGATTTTATTGTTATTTATAAAGGTTGAGCAGATTGTAACAGTTGTAATCGCTTTTTTGTGGATTACTTGATGCGGCCCACTCTCATTCAGACACTACCTCCTGCGCGCCCCCCGCCCCCCCCCCCCTGATGATTTGAGTTTGAGACCCTTGATCTAATGAATACTTTGGATTTTACCATTTTAATATAAAAGTAATTTAAATTGCGTTACAATTTTTTAAAATTAGTATGTTAGGAGAAAATTTGGCAAAAATTGGGGGGGGGGGGGGAGGAAATTAATGCAAAGTATTATTTTTTTAAACCGGGTCTCTAAAAATTGTGGTTCTAAAATATCGCTTAATTTGTTTTTAAAGATCGTTTAGTTGGTTGTTATTGATCGCTTAATTTGTTGTTTAAGATCGTCCAGTTTTTGTTAATGATCGCTTTATTTTTTCTTAAAGATCGGTTAGTTTGTTCATAAAGATCGCCTGGTTTGTTGTTAAAGATCACTTAGTTTGTTGTTAAAGATCGCTTAGTTTTTCACAAAGATCGCTTAGTTTGTTCTTAAAGATAATTGATTTTGTTCCTTAAGATCGATTAGTTTGTTCTTAAAGATCTTTTAGTTTGTTCCTAAAGAACATTTAGTTTTCTGTTAAAGATCGCTTAGTTTATTCTTATAAATCATTTAGTTTCCTATTAAAGATCATTTGTTTTGATCTTCAAGATCATTTAGTTCGGTCTTAAAAATCGTTTAGTTTGTTCCTTAAGATCGTTTAGTTTGTTATTAAAGATCGCTTAGATAGTTCTTAAAGATCCCTTAGTTTGTTTTAAATATCGTTTAGTTTGTTGTTAAATATCATTTAGTTTGTTCTCAAAGATCGCTTAATTTGTTCTTAAATGTCGCTTATTTTGTTGTTAAATATCGCTTTCGCTCAGTATTAAATGACGGAAAACACGAGTCAGGAGGCCGAAAGTCTAAGTCAATTTCGGCCGAAACCGAAGAAAAACCGAATTTAAGCCGAAAGTTAACTTTTCAGTTTCGGCCGAAACCGAAACTTGGCCGAAAGTGAAACTTGGCCGAAAGTGATAAAATCGCCACTTTCGGCGCCGAAGCCAAAATTCGGTCTGCCTCTAGTTTAGACTACTCGGCTACCCAGCACCCCATAGTTGTTACCGGGTAATTAATTCTTATTTTAATACATCTTATTTTATGCTTATCTTGACTTCGAGTTTCAACCAGGTTAAATTTCACCAGTAACTTTATTTTTACCAGTGACAGACTGGGATAATGTGATCTACATGTTCACCTAAATATCAATTGATATCTATAGCATAGACACACTGAAAAACAAAGTGACTGCAGTTTGCAGTTCACGTCAGTCATCTGCTGTTTCCTTACAATTCAATTTTTTGATGTCAGCTTAACTCGATTCCACTGAACACGCTATACGAGTAGTTATTGTATACATTATATATACTGTACTTTTATTTATTTACTATCAAGATACTGAGTTACTGTTAATTCCATATGATGATAATGCATAATGAAAAAATGAGTTTTTTAAAGCTCTGGTTTATAAATATTTTTTTTGCATTATATTTTTTTATATAAAATTAACAGAGATTATTACAACTGTTTGATGAAAGTTATATTATTTATTAAATGGTATTCATAACAGTTGCTTTTATGCTGTAGAATTATATGAAATGGGCTTACATCAAATAACAACATTGGGTCAAAATGTCTGACCATGGCTAAAGCCACATCATTTGTGGGAGATGCCAACAAAATTAGTTATTAAAAATTTAACTTTCTTATTTAGAAAAATTGCCAATCTCTTTTTGGTTGTTCATCTAGTTCAGGCCTGCACAACTCGAAATGTAAGGTGGGCCGTAATAATTTATTAAAAACTTGTGCTGGCCAAAAGAAAATAGTACAAGATTTGTGCGGGCCAACAGAAAATAGGACAGGGGGGAAAGCTATTAAGGAAATAATAAGAATAAAGAATATTTCTTTACTTTTCGGGCTAAAAATGTGGGTGCTGGTGGGCCACATGCGGCCCGTTAGCCGTATGTTGTGCAGGCCTGGTCTAGTTGCATCACCAATACCAGTAATATCACGCAAATGAAACTAACATTGCTTGAAAAATTATTTAAAGAAAAGTGCATTTGTAAAATCAAAAATATTTTGGAAGATGCATCCCACCAAATATATCACAGCTATCTGTAAAGCTCAGTGAGCAAAAATTCCTTCCCATAAAATTATTGAAAGTTATAGAAATTTAAATGTTCAACGATCCATCATAATATTCCAACATATGTCCTGGTTGTTATAAAATCAAATAATCACTCTTAAGATCAAAATTGTCTAATGGCAGTCAATTTTACTACATCCGATTCCTTATTTTCTGCGCTTTGAGAAATAACTTCATAATGTCTTACATTTAAAAAAGTTCCAGTTATCTTACTCAGGATGTTTATCAATTTGCTGAAAATGAAAATGGACAATGTAATCAAAACATGTTTCCATTTATATGGATAAAAAAATCAATGAAAGAATCTTATGTTATTTTTCCATGTAACATTTATTTTTCCTTTTTTATTAGGTAAATATATAAATGTCTGAGAACTGAGTTTAAAATACCTTGTTTATTTTGTGAAAATCCTCACAGGCCAACTCTAGAAGCAACGGGGGCTCGACCAAGAAAGCCTTGTAACTGCACAAAATCTCAGTGTTTAAAGTTGTAAGTAATTATTTAACTCTACCCAACTTTATTATTGTATAGTTTTATCTTAACTTTGAATAATAATGAATTTTCAAACATAAATAGTCATTTGAATTCATGTAAAATTTAACGATATTGGAGCAAGTAAATATTTTGTAACCTATTAAAAATGAAAGCCTAGGTTTTCATTGCTGAACTTTGAATTAAATAAATATATTGTTTCCAGGGTTGAGATGATTTTAATCAACCAATTTAACTCTTTCACTGACGTGAAATCATGAAATGCAGAATCTTTTTTTCCACTCAACCCCTTGAATGTAGGCATGCATCATCTTTACTGCTATAACTCAAAAGGATCTCAAACCAATACCATCGAAATCGTCTAAATCTAAATCATCTTCACTATCAATAGAAATAGTATGAAAATTGTTAATAATAAGTTTTAAAATATTTTTTTTTTTAGTTACATATTTGATATTTTAAAATCATTTTTATTAGAATGTACTTATAAGTTTCAGTTTGGGACAAAGTATAAAAATCCTTTCAAGTTAATTTAATTTAGAATTTATTAATTTTTTCCAAAATTATTTTAATTAAATTTAAATACAAAAAAAACTGAGTTAAATAATATTAACCATGTTATGTTTTATCATTATAAAAATTAATGTATAGTAGAACCCGTTATGTCAACGGCGTCGGGGTTTGCATGAAAGTGTCGAGATAACCAAAGATCGAGATAACCGAAAAACAATATGGCGGCAATATATTAACATGTGCTTGAAATTTCTCTATGTACCTGATATGCGTTAATAGATGCAGGTACTTCAGTAAAAAAAAAAAAAAAAAAGCGCATCCCGTTATTACTAAAATACTATTTAGGGATTACTTATTTTGAACTTTTAACTTTGGCACATGACTTTAATTAAAGCTTTTCCTGACAAATGGTTTAACAGCTTTTGCACACTGCAAACTCCTATGAATACATAGGACGTAGTACCACGGCATAGCTATTATTCCGTATCCGGAAATTTGATCGAAAGAAATTTCATAGACGGTAAATTGATCGAAGGTAATTTGATCGAATGGAAATATGGTCGAATCTTTTTTTCCGTTTTTACGTTTAAATTTTGCCTCAAAAGTCTTTTTGAACGCATTATTTTGTTTTACTATGTAGTATTAGTGCGTTAAAAAGAAATTTGACGAAAATTTTAACGTGTGAACTGAAAAAAAGATAAATTTACCGTCGACGAAATTTCTTTCGATCTTATTTCCGGTAACCCTATTATTCAGTTGACCGCAAATGGCTGCCCATTCTGTTTTGCACACTGCAAATTATGATTATTTATATTATGGGCTCTACTGGGTTTTTAACCTCGAATTAAAACATATTTATTTAAATTACTTCTAGGTTCATTATAAAATACAATTCCTGTATTTTGATAAATAATAATTATTTTTAATAATGAAAAACTTGTTTATTTGTTGTTTGCTATTTCTTCTTGCGGAGTTCAAAAGCTGGAGATTGGTAATGGGGATTGAGATAACCGAGGTTAAATGGCAAATTTGGCTGCCTTTTGTGCTCGAGATGTCAGGGTTCGGCGACATAAAAGAATCAAAATAACCGAGAGTTGGCGAGTTAACCAAGGTTGAGATAAGCGTGTTCAACTGTACTTCAAATCTTCAGAAATCCTTTTAAAAAAAAAAAAAGACCAAAAATATTTATTTTTAGAAAATATTTAAAATCTAATTTATATAAAAATGATTTCAGTACCATCAACTATATTATAATATTTAATATTTATAAAAATTTTACTAGTATACTTCAAAATCTATAGTAATCCTTTTTTTAAAAAAAGAACAAAATCAGCAACGTAAAATTTTAAAATTAAGAAATCCTGTTTTAAATCAAACAAACTCGATATTTGAAAAACCTCTTTCTCTCCCTCTCAATCCCAAGAACTAAAACTAAGACCATCGGTGAACGCTCCTTCTGCTTCCATGGGCCCACGTTCTGGAACCAGCTCCCCTTCCATATACGTCATAGTGAAACCTCGTCCATTTTCAAAAAGTCGGAATTTTGAGTAGACAAATCCAGGCGCTATGACCTGTGATGCACCCTCCTTGCCCTACCTCATTTTCTGTTTCGGGTTGATCCTGAAGTGTCAAAGTGTCCTCGTTTTATAGCCATTTTCATTGTTTCTCTAGAATAGTAGTTACTATCCTAGTGTCTCATTTGTATTTACTTAGTTTACATGTTTTAATAATTGTAAAGCGCTTAGAGCTTTATGATAAGCGCTATATAAAAATGCCTAAATAAATTAATTAATTAATTAATTTCCACGTTCTGACGAATTATCAAATTTTGCATATTTGTTAGGCACTTTTATGCTATCTCTGAACCATAATAACTTTTTTGTATTTCATCAGAAAATGTTAAGTTTGGTATGGAATTAAATGGGAATGTTTGGGCTTAAATTTTAATATATAAATGTGATTATGATTTAAGGAAAATAAAAATAAAAAAAACAACATATTACCAACTGTTCACAAAACGCTCATTCCAAGTCACACGAAGTGAAATATATAATCCAAAAGTGTAACCAAAAATATTTCTTTTGTGAACTATATCCATGTGTGCATCACAAATAATAAAGATCAACTTATAAAAAAGAAAAAATTAAACACCAGAGCACATTATCCATTGTCACTATCTCAGATTAAAATTTGTGAAAAAAATTTAACTATATTTACTGGAAACAATTTGTTGCTATTAAAAAATATTTGCACTGTATTCTTGTATGTACTAACATTTATTATGGTAAATGGAAAATTTACCATAAAGTTGCCATCTTTTCATCTGGATTTAGCTATGGTAAGCCTAAAAAACAATCCATATGGATGTGCCCTTTAGCTGGGGGACGGGGCTGGTTGTTCATCAGCTGATGAATTACCAATTAACAATTTCTTCACTAGTACTACTAATACTAGTACTAGGATTATAATCATTCGATTCAACAGAATCAGCCTCTGCATTTGAAATCATAAAATCACTGTCTGAATCATCATCAGAGTAATGTTTTCAACCTTTATTAGATCGATCACCAGATGGGTCAGGTCAAGATTTCATATTTGTAAACAAATTAAATGGACAATCAAAACAACCGCTTCAAACGCTTCGTTCTATGTAAAATCTTGTTCAACCACAGAAAAACCGGATGTTTATACCAAGGGAAATCATTCTAGAATTGATTTAAAATAATTAAAAACCAATACGCCAAAATCTTCATTTCAAATCGACGATGGGAGCGTTGATCCGGAGAGAAAGAGTTAATATATAGATAAATATATTTTTAAAAAAAAAGAAATTTTGATATTTTTCAACCCTGATTATTTCAGATATTGTGATTGCTTTGCAAATGGAGAGTTTTGCCAAAATTGCAATTGCACCAACTGTGCTAACAACCTAGAGCATGAAGAGGAAAGGTCTAAGGCAATTAAATCCTGCCTTGACAGAAATCCTCAAGCATTTCATCCTAAAATTGGTGGGTACATAAGTACAAATATTTACTTTAAATTGATATTTTAAAAGAATTTAGAAGCTATGAAAATACTTTAACAAGTATCAGAGTTGTAATATAAACACATTGTAAACAAATTCAAGGTTAATAAATGGACAACGTTCAAGCTAATTGAATGAAATATGTCGAAGCTTGAAATAAAAAGACGAGACATAAAAAAGACCCTTAGTGGACAGGTTGAGAATACCCTGTTGCAAAAATGTGTCCATTCTTTGGCATATACATAGTGGGAGTGTTAGGCTATAATAAGTTTGGTACCATATTTATTTTTGTTTGGACAAGGTTTGAAAGCACCATTCAGTGCGATAGTGATGATATGATTGAGTGCTGGGATAAGAGTAGTTTCAGCATAAGATCTGGAGCGGAAGAAGTCCATCATTTCATTAGCCCTATCTTAAAAGTCTGCATCGAACTGGCAGAGGTAGAAGTCTGAGAATTTAGGAGAAAGGTATGGAGTCTTTGCATGATTTGGGGTGGGAGGATGAGTACAGTAGGTATCTATGGCTGTCTTTGAGTTTATAGTAAGTTTATCTAATAGGTTCACTGATCATTTTCATATCGAAGAGGGAAAATTTTCCTGGGTCTCATCCATTTCAGCAGAGATAAACACAAAGGCACATCAGATTTTTCCATCATGGCACTTATTTCCTGCACTTACACACCTTTTAGAGTCAGGAAGGAAAACTATCACCATGGAATCGATCAAATTTCCCGGAAATCCTTTTCTTATTTCTAATATTTTACATAATTCCAAAATATTTTTGTCAGTAAAAATATACAAATTTTTTTTACTTCCTGTAATCTTTTGATAGCCCAAATGTTGTTTTTGGAAAACCCAACTTCCAGCACTAACATAGCATTCTTTGCGAACTCCAAACACTTAAATTTTTTAACTGCTTTCTATTTCTTATTGTTTCTTCTTTTGTCTTGACTGCTGAATATGGCTCTTATTCTCTTAGCCAAAACATTCTCCTTTTATTGTCCTGTCTTTTTATTTCAAGCTATTTCCTAACTAAATTGAAGGAGTTTTGTTATGAATGTCTCCAATATATAGTAGAAAGTTTACTCTGTAATATTATTTGGTAAATTCAGAAACATTTCAATTAAATAAAAACAAAAAAAAAGTTGTATTTTTCACTATGTTCATAATTTATCTTTATAATTTAACATATTTTTATTTTTTTAAATATTTTGTTACAGGTAAAGCTAAAGATGTTGAAGGTAACCGGAGGCACACCAAGGGTTGTAACTGTAAACGCTCTGGCTGCCTAAAAAATTACTGTGAATGCTACGAGGTAAGATTTATTTAATTTTAACCCACGAACTGTCCATTGTATGTTTCTGTACTGTGTAGCCACTTTAGAGCTTTTTGGGTGCCTTTGAAAAATGTGATATTTTACATGCAAACACTACAGCTAGACCCCATAAAGTATATATTTATTGAAGGTAGACTGGGTGGGGAAAACATACTGGATATTTTTTAATGATATTTTATACTCCCTGACCGTGACTGTGACCTTGGAGTGACCAACAAAGAAAATGAACATTTTTCTTTTCAAGTACCTCAATCTAGAATTTTTTGAAGTCATATTATTATAATGTTTATATATGATAGCATTTTTATTTATCTTTCAGAAAATGTATTATTTGTATATGTTTTAGTTATTAATAGATTTTAAAAAAAAATAATTTCTTCTGAGACCTATAATTATGTTCAAGTAACGAAGCATGACATAAACATTAGTGAATAGCATGAAACAGATAAAATTTTAGAAGCTGCTATATAAATATTTAATCCTTAAAATGAAATGTAAGAAAACATATACAGAACAACATCCAATTAATTTTTGTTGGTACAAAATCATCTGCAACATAGTTTTGAACGAGTCCTGTTGTTGCGGCATCGCCTACTCGTTCTTGGCCTAGGTCTAAATCGTCCGAACTTTCATTTTATGACCCACTAGAAAAATAATCGGAATTATCATTGTTTTGGTGTGTGATCGGAAATTCCTCTTCCGAATCACTTATGTCATTAACTAAAAAGAATAATCTAAAGATTCCTACCTGATTTATTTTGTAAGCCAGATGGTCCAGCTATGGCCTCATCCACTTCATGAAAATCTAATGACACAAATTGCTTGATAAAGATCGTAAAAATAACTCCAAAGTTTAAAAAAAGGACACAGAAAAGCGAAAAACTGAAGTTCATTTATAAATATAAGGAAGTAGTTTTATTTGGTTTAAAATATCGGACTGGAACTTACTCTTTCAACGCATTTTTTATGGGCCGTTTTTATCGGCCGACGACAGTTGGTGGGTTAACATTTGAAACTAACTTTTAGCACTATAAATGTCATTTCTGCACACATTACCAAACTTGTGCCAGCTGGCAAGCATTTCAATTTAAAAAAGTCAAACTTGTATAATATGAAAAAAAATTTCTTCTCCCAGAGGTGCTTTAGTCATTCAAAAAATTCTTTCCATATCTCATTGTTCTGAGCCAATCTTGCCAGCTCATTACACTTCTTTTTATTTTTTTTGTATGCCCCTTAGCCTTGTATTACATGACTTTGCTTTCTTTATATTGCTATGTGGATTCCACATCAAATATTTACTGCTTATTTAGTATCATTTTAAAGGAGAGCTATTATTTTAAAGTACTGTTTTTATTGTTGGCATCTGGTTGCTTTTTTGAACTCACAGTGGAGCACAGGCTGGTAACCATATCTTTTCACAGAAGCCGGTCACTTGCTATCTTCTTCAACTTGTCTAACTCTATACACCAGTCGTTTTTGGGTCTTCCCTGTCCTCTTGAGTTTTGACGGTTTTTGCTAAGTTATTTTTGGTATCGCTTTTCTTATTTAGTAAGTGATGACCTCCCCGTTTCCTCCTTCTTTACCAAATTTCTCTCTCATAAAGATTCGGGGAGTGGGGGATAAGAAATAGATCATTGTTTCACCTAAAGCACATTTCCCATTGGAATTAATGCATTAAGATCTTGCTTATGTGCAAAAAGCAAATGTAATTAACTCACCAGATGCTGTCCTGCTATTTAGCTTTCTTTGCTCATGCATCAATCTACTTAACAGCACAAAATCAGTTTATGGCTGAAATTATTTTTTGCAACCTTCCAACAAATGATACTGATGCTTAATATTTTATGGTTTTAATTATATGGAAAGGATTGACCATTTCAAAACAATTGTTATATTTCTTATGACAGTGTTCAACAAATTAGTTGGAAAGAATGTCATCTATAAACATAATTTTGAAAATTTATAATCTTTTGAGTAGATTGTCTAATAGTTTCATTCCTAGACACATTAATCTAAATGATTCTTTTCAGCAACAATCTTTTTACAAAACAATATTCTTTAATTGGTAAGGATTATTTTTCAGGCTAAAATAATGTGCTCAAATTTCTGTAAATGTATTGGATGCAAAAACTTTGAAGAAAGTCCTGAAAGAAAGACACTGATGCATCTAGCTGATGCCGCAGAGGTACGTGTCCAGCAACAGACAGCTGCCAAGACAAAGCTTTCATCACAGATATCATGTGTGCCATCCAGACCGCCCACTGCTCCTGCTAGCGGAGAACGGTATGTTGATTTATCAAATAATTAGTTCATGTTTTATCTGAATTGAACCTGGCAGGAAGCCAACAAAAGGCATGGATATTTCAGAAGACAAAGAAACTAATTAAATCAGTTACATATTCATGCACAACAAGGTGCAGCTTGAGCCTGAATTATTTCCCAGTGTTATTCAGTCGAATATGCAGTTAAATGGCGATCAAAGGTACAATTTAAAACTGTCTGTAATATGGTGCTCTTGTTTAGAATAGCAAGTTGTTAAAAGGTTCCAAACATGACTGTAAGAACCTGGTTAATTGGCAAATTTTTAAGCAATTTAATCATAATATGTGGGGAAATGGGAGCCAGAGGAATTCAATACAACCCACAATATAGAAATAAAATAAATTAAACTAAGTTAAATATGCCAATTAATTTTTAAAACAAATTTGAAAAAAAATTGAATATCCTCAATTGGGCTGGATTGCTAACTCTGATTATCAAAATGTTTCTAATCTAATGTTAAATTATAACTATTTATTTAGCTGATGTGTGTTGGTTAGGACCAGTCGTGTATATTTTATCTAATAGAAAAGTTGCACTTTTCTTCAAATCTGTGATTATCTTGAAAAACTGTTTCTGACTTGTTTTTGCATTGTGAAATAAATCTCTTCAAGAAGTAAACTCATAAATTTCTCAAGAGGGCAGTCTTTCCCTGATTTGTGTTACTGCTAGAATATTAAGTCCTAGTGGGCAAGAGGGATGGAATGGTGTCAGTCTGTAATTTTAGAATATGGCTTAAAAATGTGAATTTAAATGTACACTTCCTTATAAAACATTGTCAGTTTTACTTAAGAATTGTCAATTTTGTTTAAGTATTCTACAGATTATAAGTTAGAAAGGGAGGTAAATATTTCCATTCAAAGTAAAATGTGTTCATATTATCATGTAAGGGGGCCATGAAAGGTTTGGTAAACAGTGTGTTAAATTATACTTGACTGTTGACAGCAGTTAGTCAACATAACTTAGGATGGAATCTTAAAATACTGTCTGCACATTCAGTCACAACAGTTGATCAAGTTGCTCTTTTGAATGCTGTTAAAAACTCTCAGCTTGTTGCTTGTTTAAAAGAAAAAAACATTCAACCTCTTTTCACAGCCTGCCGTTTGCCTTGATAACATCTGATGTCGCAGAGGCCACTTCGGCATGTCTGCTCGCTCAAGCAGAAGAGGCGGAAAGAATGAAGATGCCGGCGGTGGTGCAGGAGAGGATGGTTATTGAAGAATTCGGACGTTGCCTTATGCAGATCATAGACTCCGCCAACAGGACCAGAAGTTAGTAGCGCCAACTGTTGGACTTATAAATACAAAAACCTTTCCAATACGGTCATCTCAATCTATCTGCATTTTATAGAATCAGGGCAGTAGCATTATATGACCTTCTTATTTAGTCATTGACCATTTTTGGTCATAAGTGTTGACTTAAAAGAAGTTTTTCTGCCTGCGTCTTGCCCTGTCCTTAGATATATGACAAGAGTTTTCAGCTTGAATTATAACATTCTATCTTTACAAAAAATATAATATGGCATCAAGGTTTAACACAGCTACTGTTATACCCTTTTGATACCTATGACATTAGAAAACATGGAGAGGAAACGTGTCTAAAGTAGATACTGACATAAATTAACAATCATAATAATGTGAAACTCTTTTTCCAGTATGCCTTTAATTTAACCTCCCCTTTGTTCATAATCATGGCCAAAATAGCTTGTTAAGATCAGATTTTAAAATGGGTCTTATTAGTGTATTTGTTTATGACCGAAAATACTATAATACTAAATAACCAAAATTAACATGTAATCATAACAGTAATGACAGCCCATGAACTCTCGCACAGATGATTGATGTCATTTGAAATTAATTTCTCAATTGTTATTTCATCTTTTAGTCTTATAGGCACAAAAAAATAAATCCCCAGTGAAGACTAGTGTAAGGCAGGGGTCGGGAACATTTTTGTCTGAGAGAGATATGGACACCACATATTTTGAAAAGGAATTCTGTGAGAGCTATACATTATGTTTAAAACTAAAAATTGAAGTAGATATGTGCATTTTGTGTAATTTCTTCACTAAAAATGCAATAAGTATGTCTCTGAATTCTTTTTAATAACATTGTTATGCTGTTGCTAATCAATAATGAGTGTTTGTTACCATTAATGCGACTTCTGGTGCTGCATGGCTTTGCTGATGGCTTTGTTGTCTGGTTGATACGTGGTGAGGTTAAGCTTCATGGATGAGTTGAGACTTCCATCCGTTAAATGTGATTGCAGTTATTTCCCTTTAATTACAAGGAATGCAGGGTTGCTATTTTTCTGTCTTTTAGGTCAGCGGAGTTTATCTCCTTTACTGCTTCTGATGCTGAGCTGCAGTAGACTTAAGCTCATTTGTAGAATGAAATAATGATATGCAATTAATATGTAGATCAAAAGAGTCTAGAAAAATGTTTTTTTTTTATAATCGAACATTTGTCTGCGAGCCAGATGCAGCCATCAATAGAGCCACATCTGACTCGCAAGCCATAGGTTTCCAACAGTTCAATAATTTTTACTAAGTAATTGTCATGAAAGTGCAGATAATTGGGTTCTGTTATCCAGAGCTGACGGAAGGGGAAGCTACACAGATTAACTTGGTTATTTATGTGCATAAATTTAGGAAGAAAATGAATAAAAATAGTTATAATTATTTTTAAAATGTCATAAGTAAAAGTACCCAATGGAATGAGCTGCCACTCTCACAGCTTTAAAAGTTAAACTAACATTTTTTAATTATTTTTTTTTTAAAATAAGGAAAGTTACAGACAATCTTTAGATAAAGTTACAGACAATCTTTAGATATCATTCCTAAAATCTTAATGTGCACGGTTTACTGTATTTGCCCCATTTTATATACATTTAAAAAAAATTTGATTACCTGCGCATATGATGCATCCCATATTTTATATGTAATTTTAAGAGGAAAAGATCATCCTACATGCCGGCAAATGCAGTAACTATTGAAATTCTTTTATCAAAATCTATGATGTGGAAGAGTTTAGACTTCCTAGGCTTGTACTTTAATAGAAAATAAATTTTAAAAAATATTCAGTTACTTTGCCTGGAATGTAGGTGACAGCGAAATAAATGATTTAGGGAAAGTAATGCATTGCAAATAAGTTGACAACATAATATTAAGTAACATTCTGTATTGGGTTTTTTCATTTCAAATTAATGCAGCCAACCCTTGTGAACTTTCATTAAATAGTGCTTTTAATATTTTAACCAATGGTTATTCATTTTCAGCTGCGAACTCCGTGGCTTGAGGAAAACTGGTGTGAATTATGCAACAGAAATTGAAACATTTGGACTACCTCATAAGAACAGTCCAGCACCAGGATGAGAAAGTTCTCCAAGATTACTCAAGACATTCATACCTAGGTCCAGAAATTTGAAGTTCTTCAGTCTCGCACAGGATTTTGAGATTTTACAAGAATAAGAAACTTCAAAAATATCACCTGGTGTATGAAAGAAGAATGGAACATGCCTCGCAATGTTCCGTGGGTCATCTGTGATCTGTAAAGGAACTCTGGGTAGGATGTGTTCCCCAGGATAATCAAGCTAACAGCAAATGTTTTATTTGAACAATACAGGAAGGTTTTATCATATCTCAATGATTTCAGAGTTGGCTAGCTACTCAGCAGCTCCCAAGCACATTACTCAGTGCTACATGTTTATAAAATTCTTTGTTTGATAAATAAGGTTAATTGGCATTGGATGAATATGACCAACAGGTGTTGAACCTGAAAGGTATATACAAAAGCTCCTTCAACACTTTGTACCCACACAATGCCCAATGACTGATTTTAACCGTAGTGGTCACTCATCCATATAACATGGCAACAAGAAAGATTCATTCATGAATTATCACCCCCATGGATGTATACACATTTGAGCTTGAGTCCATCAGTGATAAATGGATAGTTCGTAAGTTCGTATTTTTAAAATAAAAATATATTGTTTAAAGTCATATTTTCATCAAATTTTGAGTTATTTTACACACTGGTCAATAGCAATTTTGTTAATAAAAAAAAAAAATCTCAGATGATGAATTTGAACACATTTTAGATGTGATTGGACATGATTAATTGGTTAATTACACCAGGTTAATAATACAGATTACTGTATTTAAATTAACGAAGTGAAATCAATATCGACCGTCTTGAAAAAGTTATAGAGTTAATGTCTTATTGTTCACATTGAGCCATGTGGCTATAAAGGGATAAGTAATAAAACATAGCAATGTAGTGGGGGGGGGGGGGGGGGGCTTACAACTCAAATTAAAAAAAAATAAAGGGATAAGTAATAAAACATAGCAATGTAGTGGGGGGAGGGGGGGCTATCAACTTCAATTTAAAAAAAAAGAATTATTAGCTTAATGATACATTTTAAAATAATCGCTTCATAGAAATATTTCTGCAGTCTTGTTAAAGCAGATGTCCCCAAACCACAGACTCTTAGAGTTGGGTAATGTCATACTTCTTTGTAAGTGTATACTGTCAGTGAGAAGGCAGCCTTAATTTTGATCATTCTGGAACAGGAAGGGGCTTTGTATGCTTTTCCTATAAAATATTAAAAAAAAAAAACTGTATACAATTTTAACTGGCTTATTGCACTGTTTGTCATTTTCTTGCAAGTAGTCTGCAATATTTTCAGGTTTCTGTAGGTGTAGGTAGCACTAAACATTTATTCCTTTCTTTTGGGCTAAGTTTTCTAGGCTAAGTCCATAGTCAATTTAAACATGGTGTAACCCCCACAAGCCTGTTTGAAACAAGTGAGCATGTTCTCCTGAACTGAAGGCATAAAATTAAGCTCCATTTGAGGGGGCTTTGGCTGTCAACATTATAATGATAAAGCTCAACAGTCCTTTGTTTTCTTGACTTGTACGTGAGAATGCCACATCTGTATTTGAAATAATTGTACAGAACTTCTGACAAGTCATTTTAAGGCAACCATTGCAAAAGTGAAATGTTCAGGCACTTGTTCCTCCCTAATCATATTCTAAAACTACAGTTGCAGGTCATATGAATTTTCTGTGCTCATCAGTTAATGATAAATAAATGAAGGGACTGCTTTCAAGTTAATCAGTTAATGATGAAGTTTACCTTTCTGAACTGACAGTATTTTAACAGTTTTAGTTGACAACACAGATATACCATAGTACTTCATTTGGTCACCTATTCCTTGACTTCAACACTTGAACTTCATAGGAATACCTTCAGATAATCTTTAGCAGGCCTTGTGGATTAAAAAAAAAAATTTGTTAATATAGTGGTTGTTTTTTAAACAGCAGTAAACTATAGAGCTGTGTACGTTTGTAAGTAATTTCAAGTGTTGAGAATGACATGACCAGTAGGTTGGCACACTGTGGGTTAGGGTACATTTTTATTATAGGTTTTAAGTAGGAGACTATTTGTTGGTGCAAACCATGGTCCCAAGCTGCCACATTTTTAATGACATTCTTGTCACAGAAATGATGGAATGGATTATCAAATGAAACAATGCTTTAGTCTAGAGTGCATCTGTCTTACTAAGTCTTTCCTTTGTTCCATGAGAATCATGGAATGTGTTATAATCACTGGAGATAATGTTTTATCTTACAATTGTTTTTAAATTCAATAAGATTTTTATGATCTAAATGGAACATTAAATTGTCAAATTGTTTGCAAAGAATTCTCATGTCCAATATGTGGCTTGAAATGATTTAATTATCTTCATTTATGTCACACAATTATTCTAACAAATTAAGAAGACATCCAACATTTGTTTGCATGCAGCAACATTTGATAAGTAAGACATCTCACATCTTGGTTAAGAGTTGTGATTGGATGCCATTAGTAGCTGTAGTAAGATCTGGTTTTAGCAGATTTAATATCAAAATCCTTGAGGAACTGCCATCTTTGTGGAAACCGTTCTCTATGATCTAAACTGCCTCATGTTCCCATAAGAAGTAATGAAATCGTTATCAAAAGTGCAATTCACATTTTTTTTTCCCAAGTTAATCTATTTCTAAAAGGTTAGAGAGCACCTTCACAAAATACTACTTTGCTCATCAACATTTCAATCTGGTCATTGTTTTTTCTTTAAATAATGAAGCAGCACTTTAAATCTGAATAATTTGTCTTTGTTTTAAGCGTAGTTAAAGAGAGACTGAATTGCTTGAATGGTGAGTGAGTTTGAGACTCCCTGTACTTTGATCTGTTCTTCATGCCATATTTATTTGTACAAAGACTTTGCTTGGATTCCACCACAGTGTACATAGATCTGTCCTTGATATGTACAAATTATACATAATGAGCCATAATAGAAAATTTTATCCTAGCATTTATTAAAATAATGATACATATTACATTTAGTGAGGCTAATTCCTCCCAAGCATGTCTGAACTTGAGGTGATGACAAGTTCAAAAAAGACTATAGGATGTTGATAGCAAATTTTTTAACACATTTTTATTTCTTTAGTAGATGGGTAATGCATCATTTGTGTTTCTTTATACATGGCTTTATAGTGAATGAAATCATTGTATAGATTGGGTAGTCAGTTCTCCTTGTATAGATTGGGTAGTCAGTTCTCCTTGTATAGATTGGGTAGTCAGTTCTGTTGCTAAAACATGTTCAAACTATTCCCAATTCATACAGTATAAAACTTGTTTGGGCTGTAAAGGCCATTATTAATTGGAAAAGTCTGCTAAAAACTAACCTACTGCCTTGCCTTCTGTTGCTTAGGACAGGAGAGTTTCTGAACTCATTATCTTTACAATTTGATGGTGGTAAAATGTCTTAATTTGAATGGAAAAATGGAATGAAAATGAGCATTATTCAATTTAAATAAAGAAATACTGTATATGTATATTAATTACTGGTATAACTAGTTAAAATTATGCTCAATTAATTAAAATTAATCTCTTGGAAGCAATATGCTTTTCTTTTCTTTTTATTAATTATATTTTATAGGTGGGTAGTCTGCATTTTTAAAATCTTTGTCAGTGCGATTGCACAACATCTCAACATGAAATCTATCAACATCACTAGTAACTGTCAACAGTAAAAGTGTGTTAGTTTTATCTCAAGCAGTTGACAAGTTTCTAGCTGCCAATTGCTATAACTGTATAACGTAATGTGATTTTAAAATGAAATAATAAATGAAAAGCTTACAAAGAAAATCAGCCAAATTTTAAACACTGGCATATTCTGTTTTTAATTGTATTATTATAGAGCTGCTTGTGTTTGTTTGGAACCTGTGGAGTATGTGGAAACTAGAAACTACCTTCATTATCCTGTTGCAGTATATGCTAACTAGAATCTATGTTCATTATGTTTTGCAGTATGTGCTAACCAGAAAATATGTTCATTATGTTGTGTAGTATGTGCTAACTAGAAAATATGTTAATTATCTTGCCTGTCTTTTCTAAAATTATTGCTTTTCCTTGTCTTCTACCCTGGTCTCATGCAATATAATAGAAAGCATCAGTGGGTAAATTTGCTGGTTCTATCCATACTAAATCAATGGGTATACTTGCTGGTTCTATCCATACTAAATCAGTGGATATACTTGCTGGTTCTATCCATACTAAATCAATGGGTATACTTGCTGGTTCTATCCATACTAAATCAATGGGTATACTTGCTGGTTCTATCCATACTAAATCAATGGGTATACTTGCTGGTTCTATCCATACTAAATCAGTGGGTATACTTGCTGGTTCTATCCATACTAAATCAATGGGTATACTTGCTGGATCTATCCATACTAAATCAATTGGTATACTTGCTGGATCTATCCATACTAAATCAATGGATATACTTGCTGGTTCTATCCATACTAAATCAGTGGGTATATTTGCTGGTTCTATCCATACTAAATCAGTAGTTATACTTGTTGGCTCTATCCTATTAAATCAGTAGTGTCAGGGGCAAGTTCAAATTGTTTATATAATATAGTTTTGTCAAAGACATGGAATCAAGACTAGAAAAATTCAGGTTGTTGGAAAGGCATTTTGCCTAGGTGGGGTGGCAACAACCAGTTGTTTTATTGCCTTGTTCCGATATTGGGCCCTTCTCGATTTACCAGCTGCATGTTAATTATCTTGCCTGTCTTTTCTAAAACATCGCATGTCGCGAGTGACCTATTTTTGTGATAGTTTTATTGAGCCCAGGTCTGACACGGTGAGTGAGGGTTGGATAAAGACGGGTGAGGGTTGGATAAAGACGGGGTTTATTAGTATGGCTTTAGTCTACATATTTATTCTTGAGTGTCTTCGTATCGGGGCCGCCTGGTGACTGGGTGCTTTCCAAATTTTTTAGGTTGGTGACACAATCTTTGGACACATAACATTTCAGGACACAGTAAGTTGGAGTAAGTCAGCTTTACCAGTATATTTGATTTCAGTACCGGCACACAGTAAGTCACAATTACCAGTATCGGCATATTTCGTTTCAGGACACAGTAGTTAGCTTTACCAGTATATTTCGTTTAAGGACACAGTAAGTCAGCGTTACCAGTATATTTCATTTCAGGACACAGTAAGTGTAAGTCAGTATTACCAGTAGGCCTACCGGTATAGCAGTATACAGTTTATGACATGGGGCACAAACATCAAGTGAAAAATCGCAATGTATTATGACAACGCATTGCATGAAAGTGAAAAGCTTTTCATTTTAATTGTGAATGCAGTTTTCTCATGCAGATCCACACGCTTAACGATACATCATTGACTACGGACTCCAATCATTTGTTATTTCAGCTTAATAACCTTCATACTCATGGGTTGGTGAATAGTTTACCAAAGTATAAGAAATGTTTTCCTCATCCAGTCATAGTCTTCGATTTTAACATTGGGAAGTAAAGATGAACTTTCTATTGGATCAATGTTAAATTGTCCACAATGAATTGAATTTTCTCTTAGAAAAATTTCGAATGAACAATTAGATAACGTTTCTAGAGAAATAATACACAATTAGATGAACTTTCTCCTAGATCATTTTCGAATTGTTCAGAACGAGCAAGCTATTATTTGAGCAGATACTGTGCTGTTTTGGAATTCTTTGATACAGGCTACAGCTGTAACAACTTCGATATACATCTGCTACAACTTGATATACATCGATGAAAACTTTGATATAATTTACCGCTATTATAACTTTGATATAATTTACCGCTATTATAACTTTAATATAATTTACCGCTATTATAACTTTGATATAATTTACAGCTATTATAACTTTGATATAATTTACAGCT